TTTTTTTTTTAAATATAAAAATAAAATTAATTTAAATTTATGCATATAATGATATTGAATATAAGTAAATGTTGTATTAATCGTCGTATACTAAGTAAATTTTTTTCTAGACAAATGCTTATTAATATAAATAAAAAGAAATTTATTTCGGAACTTACAAAAGGTTAAGGTAAAATAAAAGTTAAATAATTTCTCGTTATAAGAATTGCCAAAAATAATTAATTAATTAATAAGTATGGTGTTTTATGCTTCAATATATTTGTAAAATATTAATTATAATTATTGCAGTTTGTTTAATTATAATTTGTTACTATATTTAAAGTCTGACTATATATGTATAATAAGAATTTATGGGAAAAGTCTATTATTAGTCCCAAGAAACTCTTATTTTAGAACTTTTAGCCTTGAGCACGGTAAAAGGACGGAAAGAGACTAAAGAAAATTTTATCAAATTAATATTTTAAACGTTGTTCCAAAATTATTCCAAATTTAATAACAATTGTTTAATCTGCAGCGCATTAAGTAACAAAAAGAATTAATGTACTTGAATAGTGCTGGAGCAGTTAATGAAAAACCCTCATTTTTAGATTAAAGTTTAATTTTTAAATTACAATACATATTTCATAAAAAATATTTGTGAAAATTATGTTTGCATGAAAAATGAATTTTTCCACATGTTTTTGAATACATTACACGTTTTACCGGCAAAACTACAAGAGATGGAGGAAATGTTATATGGATCAACTTTTAGCCCTCGTCGTAGCGTTTCGAAAAAAAAAAAATTCTGACTTTGACAAGCTTTATCTGGAATACTATGGTTCAAATCAAATTGATTGTAAGACCAAATGTAAAGAGCAATCAATTAGGAGCAATGGTTGCTCTATGACGCATGGTTCTAAAGTTATAAGTATTTGTTTATATGCATATATAAATATGGTACCTTTTTTTTTCAACAAGCTGTAGCTCGAAAACGAGTATATCTACACCCCCTCCCACACATACAATTTTTCTCATGGAAATTGATCAAAGAATTATCCCTGAAATTATTTGCCGTTTTATGCGAAACACTCTGTATAATCACTGAAACATTTTCAACATATTTCACAAACAATATAACATAAGGAACTGTGCATTTGATTACTTATTGACTAATATACTAATTATTTCTTTAAAGATTTTAAGTGGTCTCTGAAAATCACTTCACCCGCAATAGTATTAAAGAAAAACTAACCTACAATATAAAAAATTACATTCAAAATGAAAATATTTTTATACGAATTGCAAATTTTTATTCCAATAAAAATTCATACAAAGTATTCTAAATACTTGTGCTAATAATATATAAAATACATATATCTACCTACATATTATAATGCATAAATTATATAATTACTTATTTAGATTGTGTATGGATAAAAGAATATTAATGTATTCTACATATATAATATATATATATACTTTAACAAAATGATATTTAATTTGTTATAATTTATTGACATGCAAATAGAATATTAATTTTCTATCATTAATTTTATATATAAAAGGATAATAAATAGACTCCATTAAAATTTTGTTAAAATTAATAAATTAATGTCCATTCTTGATAAGTAATAATTATTATCCATTATAAGAATTGCATTATCATTATGTAAATTAAAATTGTTTCATTTTTTTTTTGTATCACGATAATTAATATTGTTCAACAATGCTCACTTATAACTCCATTAAAAATTTTATTTCCGATTGTAGCTTGGGGGTACTTTATCTGAGTGATTTTTTTTTAATAATTATTTAATTATAGTGAATATTTTGTTGTATAGATTCCCGATATTTTTAGTTAAATTTTAATTTATAACGCACCATTTAGAAGTAATAAAGCATTTTATGTCAAAATTTAAATTTCCAATTCATTCTAAGAAAAAAATAAAATATTTCTTTTGCTTTTCTAAAACTTGGGCAATGTGTGCTTTTAATTCAAATTTGATTTGATTTAATTCTCTATTAAAAACTAATTGAGACTATATTTTTCCACATCAAATAGTTTAAGAGAAAAATAATAAAACGGAACGTTTTAATTTTTATTTTTCATGCTTATTGAGTGAAAAATCAATTTCCCCAAAAGAAAAAAAAATATATATATACAATATATATTTTGAAACATATGTGGACCCAAATATATTGGAAAATGTTAATATTAAGAAAATTTTTATACACGTACTCTTAACAGAAACGTTTTTACTCAAAAATATTTTATTAATACGAAAATATATTTGTCCCTGTAAATTTGAAATATTTTGATTCATTTCAACTGAAATTGTAATAGAGACTTTTCGTTGTTAACAAACAACTGCCGCTGTTTATTTTACAGAGTGGATTCTTGAAACTATAATGTGCAAAAAATAAACAATATGCCAAAAATTGAGAGTTTCATTATTGATCAGGGATTTGTAATAACTTTTTATCTTGATAAAAAGCCAAATATTTCCAAGACAATAAAAAAATATTGAAAATTTTCAGATTCTTCAAGAACAATAACATTCGTCTTTTAAGTTTAAGTAAAATAAAATTTAACTTACAAGTGAAATAAAATTAAATGGGTACAATAATAAAATTCCGAACATTTCAACAAAATAAATAAATTAGAATTTAAAATCCCTGATAGTTATCCCTACAACAAACTTGCAAATAATTCATTATCCCAAAAAAAGCAAAAGAAAAAAACATTAAATTAATAAATTGTTTAGGACTTTCAAAAAATGTTTTGGGAATTTATTAAAGAACTATTTCATAAAATATTTTTTTCATTCCTATTTAACATAATGTTGATGTCCTTGTATAATCTCTTACAAAATTTTTCATTAATATTCCTTAATTCAGGTGGCAGGAATTTTTTTTTTCTATATATTTGTAAAGAGAAAATTTACATTCTAAAACGTTAAACCCCAAATGGCTGACTTGAAATTTTAGAAAGTAAAATTTTTGACCATAACATAAAAGAAAAATTATTTTGCTTTTTTTCTTTTGTGTTTTGAAAAAAGAAAAAGGCGCATATTTCAATGATTCGAGAAGAGAATAAATAATTTTTTTAAGATATTCAGGAGGATATATTAAAAAAAATGTTTTATTTTTTTTTTTTTGTTTTCACTTTTAAATTCTTTAACCTGTACAAATATTTATAAATTACGAAAATATTTTGCTTATACTCGTAATAAAAAAATTCCGGGAAAACAAATACTTATTTGAAATTCTTTAAAAAATATTTGAATTTTGAAATGGAAAATTTTAATTTTATTTAAATAATGACCTTGAATTTTGAATGTATTATATGGACCTACCAATATATACATACATATTATGTATAATGTAATTTGGAATTTGAGAAAAACTAAAAATATATAAGAAATATAGAGAGTAATTTTACTGTACTTGATAATGAACTTAAAGGGTTCATAATTGTTATAAGTTTTCACATAATTCAAATTGCTTTGTATACTTTGTACTAACTCAAAAAGGATTAATCTATACTTTGCTCTTTACGCAGTTTAAATAATTAGCGGAGAAAAAAACAAATAATATACTAAATAATTGTATACTTCTGTGATTTTATACAATCCAAGAAATATAATTTAATTTATTTGTTTGCTTGCGGTTTTAGTATGACAATTTTTTTCTAAAAATTCATTTCATATAATATAAGCACCCAATACAAGTAAAAATAATTGTAAATTCGATTTAATTTAAAGAAATATTTTTGATTTCACCCGACAAATTATTTTTTCACATTCACAATAATCCAAATGTTAACTTATTGCTCTTACACTATAATATCAAAATTACTATTATGCCCTCTAAGTATTTTTGTGTAGATATATATAAAGACTTTTCTATAGAAGCTTATATAAATAAACACGACGATAAAATGAAAATATTCCAATCAAATGAAAAAATATTTTTAATTGAAATTTTATTTACAATCAAATTTGCGAGCACATAAAATGCTTTCCAACATTGCACAATATAGTTATATATTTATATCGAAAAATATTCATTGGAATTGTCTTCTTTCCAGCGCAATTTCAAATAATTTTTGAAAAAAAATGTATTAATTAGATTGACTCTGTTCGACTGCCCGTGTGTGCATGTACAAATAAAAAATGAGATGACAAAGTGAAATTTCATAAGCACATATAGATTTTTCTTTGAAAATTATTCCCTCTGAACGAAATTTCCACTTGTCTTACTATTCAAGCTATATATTATAGTAACAATTTCTTTAAAACGACAGCTGCAAACTTAATATCATTAAATCAAAAACTGTAGTACAAAATTTGTAGTACAATTTTTATACAAGTTCAACTTTCTTTTAAGCACTCCTTTTATCTAATATCCTTTTCTAGGATATGCAATAAAATTTTGTTCTAAGAAAAAAATTTATTGAAATCATTTTTCTTAAATTTTCGAAATGTGCTACTTTAAAAATCGATTTGTTTGACTGTGCCTGTTTAAGTCTCGCAATAAAATTTGACGATATTTGAGAAACAATCTGCCGACAGTGTATATTTAATACTATAAAAAAAAAACAAATATCCTGAAAACAATTTTATATGTGAATTTTTATTTCATTTTAAATTACGAAAAATTGAATAATTTTATATGATTTGAAAAATAATGACGCATTTAAATAATAAAAATAACAGCCATAAAAAGTTGAAACTCATACTATAAAAAAATCCTCATAAATTTTATAGTTTTTATAAATTTTAGTAATATAATTTGAAACAAAACAAAAATAAGATGTAAATTAAATTATTTAAAAACATTACAAAAATTTCTTATTCGGCAGTTTGATCGCTCAAATTTTATAGTCGGTTGAAATTTTGCTTTAATAAAAGTATTTGAAAAAAAAAATTACAGCTAGACGTGTATAATACTATACATATTAAATTTACTGAAATTCAATGTAAAAATTTTCAAAAAAAAATTAAAATTTATTATTTTACCTTTGGTATCCTTTGTTGTTCATTTGGATCAATATTATTACCACCTGGACCGGTATTAATTGTATTAATACCGCCAGGACCACCTGATTCTAATACTTCAATTTCATCAACTTTTAATAAATTATTATTATTTTTATTACAAAATGATAATTGCTTTTGTAATGATGTTGTTGATGCTGAATGATTAGCTCCACCAATACCACCACCAGTATTACAGCTACCACCACCACTACCACCAATAAAATTACTAGTACCATTTGTTGTAATTGAATTGGCGGCACCGGTTGTTATAGACGTTGTTTTACTATTAATTGCATCATTAAAACCACCACCAGAACTACCCAATAAACTACGAGTTGTAACATCAACCGTCATTTTAATAATATAATATCGTTGTTTATATATATATATATATTTATATCTATATATAAGTAATTATATAAGTATTTATTATTTTTATAATCATATGTATATGTGTATATGTTATATATGTTATATATATAATATTATTTATTATAAATGCCTATATAAAGAAAGTTATACATTCGGCAGTAATAAAATGTTTTTGTAAAGTTGTAAAATAAAACTTTTTTTTTGTAATAATATGAGTATTATGCCTAAATGCATGTATAATGTCTCATATATATAATGGGCATAATAATGTTATATATTTTTATATTATATACAAAATATTTTTCATGTTAAATTTTTAATAAATTTTACTTTCAGTTTTGTGTTAGTTTTTTTTTCACATATTAAAATTTTTCCAGTTTTTTTTTTTTTTCCAGTTTTGTTATATAAAGCATAAAAATTGTATAACAAATTTAAATAATTTAAAAATAAAATGATAAGAAGAGAAATAAAAAAATGATAAAACAAAAAGAGAATAATATTGCAAAAAAAAATATATTATTTATTTATTTATTTTATTTTATTTATTATATACGTACTCATATAATATATTTATACTTATGAATGCATAAATAAAGATCTCTCTCTCGTATTTATATTATTTTGTATAAGAAAATAGAAATGCAAGGATAAAATTTAATGTTTTTTTGCATATTATAAAAAAAGCACTCAACCGTTGTTTGTTACATTAAATGTTCTCAAATATTGAATGTATATATGTATAGATATCATTACATACATATATGTACATATGAATATATGGCATTTACATATAGATTTATTTTTATTGTTATATTTTGTTTGTTGTAACAATAATAATAATAATAATAATAACAATATGAAATATAGAATTTTCTATATTTTTCACTTAGAGTTTTAGTCCTTAGAATTGAAGAAAAATATTTTTATTTCGTAGGAATCACAGATTTTTGCAATTTATTTCTCCACATTTTTTTTTTGTTTACTTTTCTTTAGAAAACCCTCTTAAATTATCATAATATTTTTGTATGCGAGTTCCTTTTATTTTTGTTTTTCATTTACATCATTCATAATATGTATGCAAGTATTATATTTGCGTAAATATGTAAATATATATAACAACATAGAATAAAAAGAATAATTATAATTTCTAAATATAAAATTATATTCTTTTAAAGTTATTAAAATGATTGCATTTATTTTGGGTTTTTCTTGAATCAACATTAACAAAATTATCCTTACTACAAAAATTTTCACGCTTTTTCATTTTCGTTTTTCTTTTTACTTTTCCTTCTTATGTTTTCCTTTTGTTTCACTTTTCTCTGTTTTTGACAGTAAATTATATAAAAATGTTAACTAAATCGGATTAACAGAATTTCAGGATATTTCCGGAAATAAATTAACAGGAGAATTACACAATATTTTTCTTTAAAAGAAAAAAATGAAAACAAAAAAACAAAACCAAAAAAATTAAACAAAAAATTTCTTTAAATTCTTTTTAGGTTTATCTCAAGTATTTTTTCTTGTTATTGGTTTTTCTTCAATTTCACACCTGTTTAATATTTAATTGATTAAAAATAGAATTTTTCTTCAAGTAATTTATTCATATATTTTATTTATAATTATGATAAAGAAAAAAAAACAACAACAAAAAAAAAATTTTTTTTTTGTTCACTTTAATCACTTCTAAATTTAAATTGAATTTTATTTTAATAATTCATATTTTTTTTTTGTAAAAAATCATTATTATATTTTTATATTTTTTAAAACACTTTAATAAATTAATTTTTGTTCTTTTATAATTTTTCAATTAAATTTTTATAACACAAACAAAAAAATTAAATAAAATTGAAAATGAAAAACATAAAATAAATCTCAAATAAAAGAGTTGCGATATGATAATTTCTAACGCGTGAAATTTACACGGCGAAGACAAATCGCAAACTCACCAATTGGCAATCAGCTTATGAATGAATAAAATGATTTCTTTTTTATAATATTTAAAAAGGAAAAGTCAAAAAGGATATTGAAAAGCTTTTTATAAAAAGAAATGTGAAAATCAAATATTTCCCGTAATGTGCTGCCATAGTTTACCATTAAACAAACACATATTATGTAAACAAAATGGCAATATTGAGAATGATAAATGTTTTTATAGCATTTGTACTAATTTTTTTATAATTTCTACTAATATTTCTACTAATATAGGAATTGTGTTTTTTATTTGGTTTGTAACTAAACTTAGTACAAAAATTACTTATCTTAGACAATATTACTGTACTAATTATCTTTATCTTTTTTAAGTCAATGTACAAACCTATTTCAAATAAATACTTAATATTATATAGTCAGCTTCCCAAAAGGTATATTATTGTTTCAAATGCAAATTTAAACTCAGCAATTCAAAATATTGTACAAATATATAACGAAGTACATATATAAAACAGTATTCTTCAAATTATTTGCAAAAATTTAGAATGGTTGTGAAACATAATAAAACTTAGCGCGTGCTAATATTATCAGTAAGAGACCACGCATATTACGTAAGACTGAATAAGCATATTATATTATATTTTATATATTTACATAACCTCAAATTCCAATATTGTTATTCTACTAGACCAGCAACTTATTATCAAATACTCAAAATAATATTATCTTAATTTTCTAATTTTATTATTTGAATTTGAAAAATATAAACAAGTAATTTTTCACATAAAAGAAATTTTTTTAAAATTTAGGTTGCTTAAGTTCATAAATTGTTTTCAGTTAGCATGATGAAATTGCAAAATTGGTAAATTTTTATACACTATATAATAATATAAGCGCATTTGATTTGTCTAGCAGTTTGATAATGGTTTTTCACAATTAAAAAAATAAAAAAAAAAAAAATAACAAAAAATTGAAAGTATTTTAAATATTGGCGATTAGATCTGTTAGAGAATTTAATTTGTATGCACAAAGAATATTTTACACACTTTATGCCTAAATATCAAAAAATAATGCAGTGTTTATTATTTGTTTGGTCAGTTTTATTCTCAAAAAATATTTAGTTCTTGATTTCTTCTTTTAATTTCAGAGAAAAATAATGTTTTCCTGCTCACAAATTCCTATCAGCAAACTAAAAAGCTGCGTTAATAAAATAATATTAATTAAATTTATCATAGTAGATAAAAATTTGACAATTTAATTTACATTTTCTGAAAGAGCAACAATTTACGTACAGCCATTTTACGAGTACTTTTCAAAACTGGAAAATTTTTAATTTCTAATCTTGTTGCCTCGTTCAACATAATTTTTATGCTAAGTTCTTTATTTGCAGACTCTACATTCTTTATTTAACTAATCTTTCATTGCACTGCAGACTACAAATTTGTAGTAGAAATTTTTTTTTTATTAAAATTAATTTAAATTACATTCATGCCGTAATGTAGTCATGCCGATAAAAAATTTATCCATTTTATAATTGAATTAAATCATAAAACGTTTTATGAACCAGTAATTATTAATTGTATTCCAATAAAAATTTAATACAAAAATAATTTTAAATGTAATTATTTAGTTGAAAAAAATATAAAAATTTCATTCAACGTGCTTACCTACTCTAATTCATGAAAACAAATTTTACTAGACGTCATCTTTTCAACAGATAAATCGTGCCATATGGCAATAATAAAAACAACCAGTGAAATGTCAAAATACAAGAGTAAAAAAATTAAATCAAAACAACAAGAAAAAAATTTTTTTTTTTGACTTTATTTTTGTCATTTGTTTTTTTAGTTTGTAAAAATTTTTCATATCGGTTTGGGGTGTTGAATATTTCTTTTGGTTGTTAAAATTTATTTTATTATTTTTGGATAAATTTCAATGTCCATAAAATTTTTTAATTTTTTCCTCCCCACACGGTTGCGATTTCCAAATAAATCTTAATAAAATTAGTGAAACGATTAAATCAAGAAAAAAAAAATATTTTTTTGTTTTTAGTTTCGAATTCGGAAATGTTTTAAAAATTCATTCCTTAAAATGTAAGTAAACGAAAAAACATTAATTTTTTATTCTCTTATTTTTTTATTTTGTTTTTTAAAATGCATATATATAGTTAAATACATAAAATATCATAATATATAACTTATTATATACAAGTTTATCTTGTATTCATGAAAATCAATATTTTAGTTTTTATATAGTTTTTTTGTACCTTGGTAACTGCATTGATATTTTTTTATGTACAATATAAATTCAAAAAGAACATGCGGCTCAAATCATTTACATAGTGTGTACATATTAGGATAAATGAATATGAAAATCTTAATCTAGTTCTATATAAATATAATATATTTAGTTAATAATAGTTATTATAAAATAGAGTGAATTTGTATCAGTTTTTGTATTGTGGAAATTATTTGTGTATTATTGAAAAGCTATAGGTAGGCACCAATATATATAATTCGAGGATATTTGTGTATATTCTCATATGTATACATGTTTTTTATATATACATTCATAGGTACATAGATAAGCTAATTCATTTTATACCTTTTTTCACTACTGCCAAAAATTATATTGCAGTATTTTTTTTTTTCATTCAATACTTACGTCCTTTTTGTTTTTTTTTTCTATATATCTTACCGATATCAAAATAGGAAATTGATATACCAATCTGGTGGTAGAAAGTTTGTCTAATATTGAATACTTTTCATAAAAAACATCTACAGAAATATCTACCAAAAAAAAAAATGGCAATAATATTATATAAAATACTTTAAACTTATCAAAAATTTTATTTATTTTTAGATATTAGATAAAAATACAAAAGCAAAAAGGAGTTGATGTTAATATTGAATATTGTGAATATGATAGTCAAACACGAAACTCTTATACTTGAGTACCTATCTACCTACCTATCTAGCAACTATATTTTTGTGTTCCATCCACCTACATTTTAATATACTATTATTATTTCTATTATTTTATTGCAATTGCATTTTGTTATATGGTAGGTAGGTACCTACTGCAATAATATGCAATTTGTTTTAGAAAGAAACTTAATCCTTTTTCTAGTGCATAAATTTGTTGACACATGTTAAATTTCTTTTATTTACCTATCTATACATAAATAAAGAAATAGAAGAATAAATAATATAAAATTTAGATTAAGATTTGAAGATTTTATTTTTGTTTTTGTTTTATAGGTGTAGAATATTTTGCACGCGATAATATTCTTATGTAGTACATGTACCCCACCTAAATTCAATTTAAAATATTTAAAATATTAAATTTAAAGAAAAAAATATAAGTATAATAAAAATTGAAAAAAAGAAACTGTTCAATGAAGTATTTTATACTTAGCTTACGTAAATAAGAGATATGTATACTGTGTGGATATTATAGATATAGATAGGTATAGATAGGTACATTTGTACAATTTTTTATTTGTTTATTCTCTTCATTTTTTCCAGTTTGAATCATCTTTGTAATAATATATCCTTGAATTTGATATATGAGGCAATATTCAACCAATGTGTAATGATATTTCTGAGTCATTTTTTCAGTTTCTATATGATGTCATATTAGTTATTCTTTTTTTTTCACAATACTTTCTCTCTGGAGAGGTTACCATATAAGCATATTATATGAATTAATCTAAGAAGGTACTTATTTATATATTAAATGCTGGAGAATAAAAATTTTTTTTGAGTTTTAAGTGTATTATATTAGGGTTTTCCATAATTTAATTGAAATTACTTAATAAAATAATTTAAAGAAATGGTAACAATTCATATTTTTACCTCAATAGTTGTTTCATAAAATTGGAAAAATTTTATTTTAATCAAATTTGAATTTTTTATTTAAATTTATGATAACTATTGCTTAATTACTTGAAATTCCATTTTATAAATTTGGCATACGTAAGTTTAAATTAAGTTTAATATTTCCAAATTAATATAAAATTTTTCCAGAATGGGTTGTAATTTTAAAAAATATACTTAACTGAATACTGTACTTTTTGAATTTAATTCATAAACTTATGAATGTTCACATTGAATTTATTAAAATTCAAATACGAACCCGACAGTCGCTCAATTTAGATAATAATGCAAATAATAGTCAACTATCTCGTAAAGAATTTTAATTCAAAAAAATAAAGTGATTAAAAAATATGGTTATCAAGTTTGAATTCGGAACTGCAATTCTAAGTTATCAGTTAAAAAATTAATTTTTCTTACAAAAAAAGTTATAAGTAGCTAGTTGTTGTAATTTTAACGCCATATTTTAAGAATTAATTATAATATTATTATATTATTGTTCTATGAATGTTTTAATAAATTTCATTTTTTATGAGACAGAAATCTAACATAATTAATCGGGAAATATGAGACTATAATGATATCGATTTCGTTTAGTTGGAATCTAAATTCATCTACGCTCATATATTAAATATTAAAGTTACATTAAATATGTAATATAATACATATTTAGAAATAAAATCGGCTATAATTAAAAAAGAAATTTTTTTTTATTGCGCAGTTCCTATAATAAAATATGCAATGAAAAACTAAAACAAAAAATCATTCAACCAAAAATAATAATAAATTATCATTTACATATATAAGGAATTTTATGAAAAAATTTTTTATATATCAAAAGTTTTTATTACAAATTTAGTTTTATTTTTAACAAAATCTGGTCACCTTTTAGATCCTATCATAGATATTTCTCATTCCTGAAAATTCCTGTCAATAAATAGAAATGCAATATTATTGACACATTTTTTATATAATATTTTTTCTGTGGTTGACACTGTTTAGCACGCTATGATAATTTCCTTTTATTTATTTTTTTATTTTTTTTGATATGCAAACCATTAAAGTAATGTGTGCATGCATAGTTTACATGCAACATTTCTTCTTTTAGGGACTATTTTTAGAACCTATACCTACTTATTTTCGGTGTTATTTTTTTAAAGTATTTCTTTTTTAGTACATTAATAACACTGTTATCAATAGCTATCAATAGCAACTACTGATATTAGTAGTTCACTTATTTCAATAGCTTATATTTAGGTAATAGATTTAAGATATATGAATGTTAATTTGATCTAATATCTTATGTTATACATATACTGAATACATGTAAACTTAAAATTATAAATTCTAAAAATAGTTTAGTATATTATCATAAATCATTCATGTTTTCAAATTTGTGGATCATACATCCTTTTACCTAGGTATCATGTTCCCGAATATATATTTTTTATTTATTACGTTTTTTTTTTAATAATAATAACTTGGCAAGGGTGAAAATATTGAAAATCGTGGTCTTTTTTCGAAGATTTTTAAATTTTTAATTAAAAATTGTATGCTTGCACTCTGCATTTTATAGTTTAAGCCGAATCCAAATGTTTTTCATGGATCAAATCATTATTTGTACTATTATAGAATCTCATAAATTGTTTTTATATGAGAGCAAATAGAATAAAACAAAATAATTTTACATTTAGGTACGTGTATACGAAATTGGGTCTATGATCTAGGGTCCCCTAATCCAAATTCAAGTTATATACTTATAAAAAATTGTATAACACTATATTATACATATATAAAAAGTATAACACTATATATTATAATAAAAGCTTTCACTTACATCAATTATAGATAACTAGGTTCAAATTTAGTCACATAAAATTTGTAATGAAAAAATGTGTGTTAGTGTGTTCATGGAAATAATGATCAAATTTCAAAATCGAAAATTTATTATTTGCATATTATTAAATAATTTGGTTTGGTTGGCAATATTTCATAAACTCTTACAATAATATTATTTTGTGTTAATTAAAATTTTATTATACTCTGGAGAGTGAAAATATATTTAATGTGAAATTATAAAAATAAAAAAAAAAAAATTAATAATTTCATTTTATATTCTGAAAATGGTAAAAGAATCAAGAATCAATTGAACACTCTAAATGGAAATCTCTAATGATCTTAAAATCACCATATTTGTATTTATTCTGTTCATAAGTATGTACAACCATCTATGTATGTATGTTATGTACATTTTACATTTAAGTATATTCATACATATCTATATTTATTTATAGATTTTGCATTTTACTTTAATATTCTTCGTGGTCATTAACTTTTTCTTTTTTTGAAATTATTTTTTTTTTTTGCGCAAAGTTGATTTGATTTTATTTATTTATTTATTTATTTTTTTTTTTCATTTTTATTATGCTTACTTTCCATTTAAAATAGAAAAGGTTAAAAAATGGATTTGGAAGAAAAAAAAGTAATAAGCAAATGAGTTGGCGCGCGGTGTCCGGTATTTCTTATGTACACTCATAAAGTGCCATATGTGTTTAGGTTTATGTATATTGCATGAAATTTCGTCTCTTTAATAAAATGAATGTGAAATTTCACGTTATCATTTATCGTGACTTGAATCAAAAATAAATGTTAACTGCAACCCCATATAAGTGTGCATTGTAAAATGTTATTATAAAGCATTTAATTATATTTATTACCGTTATTATATATGTATGTATATATGTTTATATATGCATATGTGTGTAGTGTATAAAAAATACTGTTATTATATTAAAGTAAAATGAGTCACCATATTATTACCGGCGTCCTAATAAAATTATTTTTCGGTTTCCTTTTCTGCTTTTGCATAAATTCCTTATTTATAACAAATTTAATATACCTATGTATGTATATGTATGTACATATGTGCGTACATATATTAAAAATTTAAAATTAGTTTTGCTATAATGTATGTCCGTACTTGCATTTAAATATTTACAATACGTACAATATGTAATTTTGTGTGTGTGAGTGATTCATGTAAATAATATGCATTTTAATATTTATAAACTACAATTTAATTAAAAGAAATATCCTTAAAATTGTTTAACTACATAATTTAGGTTTTTTCTAAAGCTTAACAATGATATACGTACAAATATGTATATGTAGTATATAACATTTGCACCTACCTATATTAGAATTATACTATCAATGTA